CTCTCTCTCTCTCTCTCTCTCCTTTTTGTTATTGCTGATTATTTATTTTGTTACTTAACTAGATATTGAAAACCCTCTTTGAGATTGTCCTATTTGAGGACTGTGGCAACCAGTGGAGCCTTAGCAGACCAATGTTGAGCTTGATACTTATAAGTGAAGAGGTAATAGTTGAAACTGCAAATTTTGAATTCCGTTCTTGTTTTGTAGTCTTCCTGTTTCGCAGTTCTTTTGTATGGCAAGTACAAACTAAACAGTAGTCTTAAAAGGGGTTGGAATCTAAATTGTGGGATTTGTCAAACAACCAACCATCATGTGTTGCATAAAACAAATAAATCAAGAGAAATGAGATATACCTTGAGAAATTAATTTCCATGGAACTCAAGAATTTTTCCAATTAACCACTAGAGAATCTAATTGCCAACCATTGTTCTGAACCCCATAAATTATGCTTAATTTGGCATAGCAGTGAAAAAACAGCTTTTATAATTGGCTTTTGTCATCTTTAGTGGACTGTTAAAATTTTAATTTATATTTTTAAAATTCCAGGGACTTTTACTCTAAAATCTCTTAAAATCCAAAAAAAAATTGAAAAAGTCTACTAAAGACAAAAAAGTTTACTAAAAATTGAAAAATTGAGTCTTTGATTAATCAAGTTGACTTGTCGGAATCAGAGGCCGAGGCGTCTTTGGATTTTCTTTTGCATGAAGCTAATGAGGCGTTGATCAGTGCCTTTCTTGTTCTGTTGAGAGCAAAAGGAGAAACTTATGAAGAAGTATGCTCTCTCTCTCTCTATATGTATATATATACACACACACACACTTTCTATACTACTATATGAAGCACACAACTCAGCTAGTGTCACTCATTTTCTGATATACCCAAATTGCTTGTATGTAACTGTTCAAGTTTCTTATTTAAATCACGCATAACTTTAGAACAGTTTCTTGTTGACATATAGCAAACTGGAAAGGGGTGACCGGATTGAGCTTCTTGTTGACAAAACAGCAACAATGCAAGACAGTGCTTTTCATTTTAAGAAACAGTCTAGGCGCCTCAATCGTGCTCTTTGGATGAAAAATGCCAAGCTCTTGCCCTTGCTATTAAGTTAGACCTTTTTTTTCCCTAAACATTGTTATGTTTCAAATTGTTATACTAGATGGATGTGACTTGTGAATGAAAACTTAGAATAGTTGTATTGTGTCGAATGTTAATGAATTATGTATTTTGTCAAATGTTAATGATTCAGTTGATTTGAATGATGCTTTAAAATTATAGGTTTATTATGGATTGAATGAATTATTAGGAATTACAGGTGTATTGTTTTCTTGCTTTTGGCGACCAATTTATTAGTCGCGACAAATAAATAATTTTTTTTCGCAAAAAATGACAATTGTCGACCAAGAGTTTTGGTCGCAAAAAATACATCTATTGCCGACCAAAACAGTTCTTGGTCGTGGAATCTCACTTTTGCCGACCAAAAGTTTTGGTTGCGAAAAGTAACAAATGGCGACCAAATTTTTTGGTCGTAGAAAAAATATATTTAGCGACGAAGAAGTTTTGGTCGTGGAATGTAATTTTTGCCGACCAATTTTGTTGGTCGTTGAAAATAATTTTTGCCGACCAAATTAGCGACTAACATGTATGGTCATTGAATGTAATTTTTGCCGACCAAAGTCTTTTCGCGACTAAATAGGTTAGTCGCAATAATTATATGTTTAGCGACCAACAATTTAGTCGCCAAATAGAATGTTTTGCCGACTGAAAATCTTTTTAGTCGCTAATTACTTTCCGCGACCCTCAATTGCCGACCAACTTGGCGACCAAAAAAATTGGTCGGGAATATGTTTTGCCGACCAAAAATTAGACTTTTGCCGACCAATTTTTTGGTCGGCAAATGTGTTAATTCTTGTAGTGATTACTTATTGGCAACTGAATTTATCTTTTTTCTTTCAATTAAACTTTATATAGTAATCTATCACTAAAAGAATTTGCACTTTTGGTGACCAATTTGGTGATTAGAAGGAATTTACTCGCCAAAAGTGACATTTTTGGCGACTAAAATATGTCTTAGTCGGCGTTGGTTTAGGTTGTAGCTAATAAAAATTTTTAGTCGGGAAATATTACTTATTGTTGACTAAATTTATTTTTTTCTTTAAATTAAACTTTATATAGTTTGCTTGCTTAGATCTTCTTTTCATTTTCCCTCCATTTCATAGTTTTGATGGAGGTTGATAAGGCAATAACCAGACACCATACAGGAACACTCCAACAAAACTAAGTAAAACAACCATCACATATCAACAGCAACACACAGAAACTGCCCAATGAGTCAAAAGACACTACCAGCGCACAGCAGCAATAATGCTACACAGCAGATAAACCAGCAATAATCAGCAAAAACTTCTAGCATCTTCTCTTCATCAACAACAATCAACAACAGCAGAGTTTTCACTAAAAACTTTTGCTGATTGTTCATATTGTTGATTAATTGTACTTGTTGCTTATTGTTTTCAAAAATGGGAAATAGAAATATGAACTTAGTAGCTTGAGAATGTAGGATCAAGAGATGTATCAATTAAGATGTGATAGGGCTATTAATAGGTACTGGTGTATAAAGTAGAAGAGATGTGTTACTGCTGAGTGAACTTGTGGAGTGAATTAGAGGAGGTGTTAATCTGAGGATGGCTACTGGTCAGACATTGCTTGAGGTGAAGGGTGAGCTTCTGGTTGTTTACTGGTACTTCTGCTTATTATTGCTGGTTTGTCTGCTGTGTAGCATTGTTGCTGTTGTGTGCTGGTAGTGTCTTTTGCTGTGCAGCAACAATCTTGTCTTCACAATATCAAACAGAGTTTTCACTAAAAACAAACATAAACCTTAGGGACAAGCTACATGGATCTTATAGGAAGCTCTCTTTCAAGAAGATGCTTTATGTTTCTTAGAATCTTATCATTAGGTTCACCACATTTGAGATCTTCACCCTATGACAAGAAAGTTCTAGATGCTATAACGAAACTTTCATTGAATCTTGTTCTATCATTCTTTTCCATGTAAATGCATGGATTACACACGTGGTTATTGTTAGTGTAATAACCCGGCCCTCCTAAATGCGTTACATTTTTTTTTAGTTGTCTAAATACTTACTTATTCAATGTGAAATTCCGTGCAGAGTTATGTTTTCATGTGTGAATTATTTAATTATGGTAGCATATCTGTTGATTATTGGAGAATCTGTTAAAATTGAGGCAATTGGATTGGAAATTGGAAGCCTTAGAGGCGCGACAGTCTGAAACTAATTTCGAATTTATGATTAGCATAATTTGTAAGATATAATATTAATTTTTGCAAAAATCTTATTCGTAATGAATTAATTGATGTAATTTGGGCCCATTAACCCAAATAAAGAGCCTTAGTGATATAAGATATTTTTATGTGAGACCTTAGGAGACTTAGTGGAAGAACTCTACACATTTCCTGGTGGAGAAGTTTGAAGAGAAAAAGAAAGAGAGGGAGAAGAGATTAAGCAAGTTTGGGGATTCAAGAATTTGCTAGAGGAAAACTAAGAAGGTCACACTTAAGGTGAGTAAATCACTAGCAAGCTCTCAATTTCTCTTAAATTAGTTGGAATTAAGCCTTGAAAGGAGGTATTCATCCATAAAACCTAGGGTTACTATTGTGAATAACCAAGTCTCATTAATAACCATGTGTTTTAAGGATGTGTGTGTGTTGAGAACCTTGATCTCCTTATATCATGTTTGATTTCTTGAAATTGGAAGGATTGTGTGCCTAACATCATCCTTTTGTTGTGCTTGCTTGACTTATGTGAAAATGAATATATATACATGTGTATATAAATCTATATAATGAATTTATGGAGGGTCATGGGAATTGTGGATGTAAAAACCAAATAAAACAATGTGATTTTAGCTTTATGACCAACCCTTGCAAGCTTTGGACCATAGGAGCTTCGGACTACCAAACAGGGTAAACGACCGCACGTACGGGGCCCTTGGCTGCACGTGCGGGAGGCAACCGCACGTAAAGGGCTCACAGCTGCACGTGCGGAAAACAGGGGGTGAAGGGTCAAACTACACTGCTAAAAAAAGCACGTGCGGTGAAGACTTCCGCACCTGCGGCCCAAATTGGAAAATTTTGTAATTTTCTTTCGCTCTTCTTGACCCTCTGAATGTGTTATTATGTCCATACAATGTTTCTATGATGCATTAAATTATGTAAAATGTACCGAATCGAATAATTGAGAACTAAAAGGAAACTAAAGAAAGATGATGTACTTACGAGTTATATGTTGTGTATAGGGCATCCACAGGAGGGGGCTATCATTCACCTGCGTCACTATGAGTGATAGTAGCGTAATATCATGCTCTAGTCATATTTTGTGTCGGTATATGTTATTTAAGATCTTATGAACTCTTATGAGTACCTCATGTTATACGCGATATGTTTGATATGGACCTGAGGTCGTTTTATTTGCTAACACAGTGGACCCAAGGCCGTTTTGCTACTATAATGGGCCTAAGGCCATTCTGTATTCTGATGGGCCTGAGGCCGTTCTGTATTATGTTGGGCCTAAGGCCGTTCTGTCTTATGTGGGCCTGAGGCCGTTCAAAAAGGGGAAAACGGGAGAAATTATGATTTGTCCGGATTATGTACTGTTATCCCATGCTTGTACTTTTAATTTGTTGTTCTATTATCATTCACTGAGCCTTGCTCACTTTACTTTCCTGAATGTTTTGTAGGCAACCAGCTTGCGAGTTAACCCTAGGTCAGCTCAGAAGCCTGTAGCTGGACCCGTTTCACTGAGTCACCTGAAGTGACTCTTTTGTTATATTTTGGGAAATCCCTACGATGGCATGTTTCTATTATAATTTTTGGGAACAATAGATATGTATATAGATATTGTTAAAACTTAACTTTCGAGTTGATTCCTTTTTGCTTTCAGTAATGTGTATCATACGTGGAATGTTATGTATGTATAGTAATGCAACATGATCCTGACATTTAGACATAGCTCAATGAATGTTTATTCTTCTATTATTGTGCTTCCATTTAGGCCCCGAGATTGAGTAACATTTAAAATAACTAAGTTAAGGCCTCGAGTAAGGCAGGTCATGTCCAAACTTTTAGGGGCAGGTTTGGGTCGTGACAGTTAGCACTTAGTATCTAACACACAGCAACAGCAGTACACAGTTATTGCCCAATGTGTCAAAACACTACCATCACACAGCAAGAACAACACTTGATAG